AGAGAGAGAGAGAGAGAGAGAGAGAGAGAGAGAGAGAGAGTACCAAATAGACGATGTTTAATTTAATATCTTAGTCATCAGAACAGCGCCACATGAAATGATCGCTTTCTAAAGCAGCTTTATTAAAACAATTATTTATTAACATTGTTTAAGTCTATAAGGGGAGGGGTCCCTGGCTGTTTTCAGGCGCAACTGATGAGAAGATCAAAACTTGACGTGGTGCATTGACAACTTAAAAAAAATAATAATCCAATAATAAATTGTTGTATTTTGTATTGGCATGAAATTTGGAACACCAGTTGCTTGCATGCCACCAAACTCTGCCTACAAAAATTATTATTGTATCTTAACAGCTTTTGATTTTATGTCAGTTGTTATCTTTTAATCATATTTTTCTCAAAACATCATTTTTTTAACACACTTTTTTGGAAACTCTACAGTTTACCAGTGGATTTACTTGAAATTTTCTGTAAATGTCACCCAAATACCCTTTTCAATTGTATAGTAGAATTAATGTAAAATATCTAATACTTTCTGTTTTATGACTTAATTTTGAAAACATTTTGATTTTTTCAGTGTTTTTTTTTTTGGAAGCCAATTTTCAAAGCTCGTAACTTCCTTATCTTGAAAGATATAAAAACAATTCTCCGATATGTTAATACCAATACTTCAAGGTCTCTAGATATTTATTTTCAAGTATATTCATAAGCAAGCTTCCGAGAAGTTTCAATTTCAAAATTGGGCGTAAAATCTAAGATGGCCGCCAATATTATGGCGGGCATCTTGGATTTTCAATTTTTTTCCGAATAGTATTTCTTTCTCAATTCAAACCTGCATGCCAAACTGTAAGTCAGTACTTGTCGTAATAACGATTTTAGCCCCATCCTGGAACCACTGTCCATCTATGTTGTGTCCATTCTCCGCACACTAGGCCTAGGCCTAGATCTAGATCTCATTTAAGTGTTATGTCACTCCTGTTTCACTTCTTGTAACTTTCCATTGGTATCGTCTGCTTCTTCCGCACTAGTCAGTTTTCCGTTCGAGTTATCTCCTTCGATGTTCGAGTCTAGGGCTTGCACTTCTTCATCGTCCTGACCCAGGACTCCGTTGATGGTCATCTCCAAGTCCAGGATATTCTCTTTCTTGGCTGGGTCGGCAAACTTTTTCTGGAAAAGACAATTAATTAATGAATGAGTTGCTAACATTTTATTTATTGTCTAGATCTAATTTATCACTCGTGTATTCATGCAGTTTCATAAAATAAACCCTACCCCCAAAAATGTTTCGTATTATTGATCAGCATCCAGACAGGACCACAAAACTTTTGGTTCATTCAATCAAATGGTCGCTTTTAAGCACAAGGAGGCTATCCCGAAAAATGCTATTTTGGGAAAATCGAAGGTAAAAAGTTTGCCCCTTGTTCAGTTTCTTTAAAAGACTAGAAGAGTTTTCTCTCTAATCAAACAAATATACACACCAATGAAACAAAACTTCTCCTATAGGTAGGGAAATGCCCACTTTTGGGGTAGGTCAAGACCTCTGGAAACTCCTGAAATCTGGGTTAGCCCGCTTGTCCTTAAAAGCGACCAATTACTCCATCAATCGCTCATTAAGCCACTCACTCACCCACTCAATCAATCAATCGTCCTATCACAATAAACCATCAAACCAGATACACGGATCAATCAATCAGTGAATTAGTCATTTAAAAATAGATAAGACCAAATTTAAACAAATTAATGATCAACAGTCCAAAACTGCAGAGAAGGAAATGTTAAAAAACCGACATCTATATAGAATTACCATACTTATAATTATATGAATGCATTTAGAATCTAGCAATCATTAAGTGGGTGGCTGGTGAGTGCTCTGGTGTGGTTTACTCCTTTCCTGCAATAATCAAACACCTATCGTCCTCATCTCTCCTCCCTCCTTTCTTTTGGTGTTTGTTTCTCTCTTGTAACACCTCTAATCTTCGGCGCTTACATGTATAATAATATGACTTTATTGTGTTCCAAGTGCCGTAGAACTAAAACTGAAAAAATCAGCAGTACGGTTACTCTACACTTTCATTCGTAGTCGTAGGAAAAACTTGTTACGATGCAATCTAATTAACCTAACAGTCTACTTCAGTGATGCGATTATATATTTCTAATGTGGGACACTAGATTTGCTAGAAAGGGCAACAGGAAAATGACCCCTTAGATCTCTGTTCCACTTGAGGGGAGAAAAGTTTAAAATTTGTACTCTGGACTTCTTGGTGTTGGTTATGAAGTTCATAACTTACTGCTTGACCACAGCCGGCATATTAAGCCAAGCAACCACCCCGACCCACAAATAAACAAACACCCCCTCCCCCAACAACCCGCAAAACAAAAAAAC